GGCATTGCATGCATACAAAAAATGTGCATGCAGCATACAGTGTCGGAACTGCTTCATCTTTGTCTTTATAGCTGGTTTGAGCCCTTCGTGATCCTGTGGCTGGATGAGAATGAGGAAGTATCTAGAGATTTCCTGCACGGCGCTCTGGTCAGGGACGCAAAGGACGGGGTAAATATCGGGTATATTGTTGTATTTTTAGTAGTGAGATGTTATGATACACAGAGGAGAGTTTAACACCTCCATCTGTCTTTAGAGTCCAATTACCGTAAAATACTCACACACACACACACACACACACACACACACACATAAGGACTGTATGATGCATATTGCATTAAAAACATGGCAAGTGATGCCTAAATTTCCAATTAGAGATGTAACGTGTATCGACATACGCTACTAAAATTTTATAATTTTAAATGTTTTTCAAAGAAGTCTCTTCTGCTCACCATGGCTGCATTTTTTTGATGAAAATACAGTAAAATCGGTATTATTGCCAAATATTATTACAATTTAAAGTAGCTGTTTTCTATGTGAATATCTGTTAAACTGTAATTTATTTCTGTGATGCGCAGCTGAATTTTCAGCATCATTACTCCAGTCTTCAGTGTAACATGATCTTCAGAAATCATTCTAATATGCTGATTTGCTGCTCAAGAAACATTTCTGATTATTATCAATGTTGAAAACAGTTGTGCTGCTGAATATTTCTGTGGAAACTGTGATACATTTTTTCTGAGGATTCTTTGATGAATAGAAAGTTCAAAACAGTGCCGGTCCTAGACTTCTGGGGGCCCTATACACAAAACTTTGATAGGGGGCCCCTGTCAGTGCATTCATAAAACCCACAACTCCTTAATCTGTACTTTCAGAAGATTCTGAACAAAACAGTCAGTTGAAACATTCAGAATAAAAAAAAAAAAAACTATGTATAAACTGAACCAAGTAATCAAATGTAAGAATAAAACACTTCATACTCTTGAATAAAATATACATTAAATATATACTGGATTAATTAAATATACATTTATTCTTATTGAAGTTAGAAGAGCAGTGAATGATTCTCTCGTTTTATTTATTTTTTTGGTTTGATTAACATTAAGTGACAGAGACAGCAGCAGGAATGCACAGGTCTAAAATACTAATAATCATTCTCTATTCACGTATAGGGAGGACTGGCTCAAATGAACAGCATTTATTTGAATGCGAAATGTTTTGTAAAATTGTAAATGTCTTAACTGACTTTTTGTACATTTACATTTATTCATTTAGCAGATGCTTTTATCCAAAGTAACTTACAATTGGGGAATACAACAAGCGATTCATCATAAAGAGGCAAATAAACACAGGAAGTGCTTGTAATACAAAGTTTCAGACATTGTTCAATTTTCGAGTTTTCATATAGGCCTATATATATATATATATGTATGTGTGTGTTGTATATCTATATATAATACACACACACACAACACACATCATTTAGCAGACGCGTTTAGCAGACGCGAGCGACGTATATAGCAATAGAAGCAATCAAACCAACAAAAGAGCAATAATATGTAAGTGCTGTGACAAGTCTTGATTAGTACCTTTATTACATGTAAGGAAGATTCTTATACTGTCTTACCTTATTTATGTTCTGATCTCTAAACAGAGCAATTATAGCTATGATTCACTCACAGCGTCTGTGAAGCTCAAGCTGAACAAAAGTAATATAAATATGTAACTGACTCCACCTGTTTTTGCCTACATCCTTACCACCTCTCAGCATACATAACTTCACTTGACAACATTCCTAGATTGTATCATTAATCACTAACAGCACAACGCAGAAAAGAGAACAGAAAAGAAAACTGTTGAGACATGGCAAAGTAGGCCTATATTTCTTGTTTTGATTTATTATGATTCAGTCTTTGTTCAATCTTTCATTACCAAATAGAAAGTAAAGATTTAACAGCATAATTCTTTAAAATTATACTGTTTTCATAATTCTCTTTATTCCAATAAACAATCATTTGAAAAAAAAAAAACTTAATTGACCTAAACCTGAAAAAGAAAAAAAAATCACAAAAATGTCATTTTACATTTCAGTTCACCTTTCCTGTGTTATTCTATGGTTCGATCACCATATTTTCCAAATAAAATACTCTCAATAACAACATAATGGACCATAAAGATAAATAACATCATTCATAACTTTTTTCAGTTTACATCCTTACAAACGCTCCGGTTACTTACGTAACGTCAGTTCCCTGAGATAAGGAACGAGCGTTGCGTGAAACACTTATGGAGAAACTCCTGTTTACTCTGATACTGAAGCCTGATTTGTTCACGTTCGTGTAGCTGCACGAACCAATGGCGCTTCAACCCGCCAAAAGGGGTGGAGCTGACTGCTATATAAGTCAGCTCTAAGCATCATTTCATCAGAAGCTTTCGATGGAAGCGACAGTCAAATGCGCTTTTCACACAGTAATACCGATAAATTGCCATAAAATTACCGGAACAAGTGGTAAATACAAAAATGCGCTGGTCACTCAGGCAACAACTTTCCGTCATTTTACCGGTAAAGTACCATTCACACATCGGTTTCAAATTACCAGTAAATTCTGTGACGATACTAACCAGAAATGACCTCTAAACGGCTGCGCATCCCGGTGTTGTGTTTGAAAGGTAAGTGTTTTTGTTGATGTTTTCACTTTTGTGTCAAACGTTCACATTCATGCAGCTGCTTTGCTTTTGGCCCAGAGACATCGCATTAGACAACTTCAAACTGAAGTACACAGTGCGGTGTAAATGCCTCATCTGCATTGAATTTTGAATTTCAACGCCTCTGGATTGGTTTAGAGTAGACATCTTACATCAGCGCGTTCTGAACTTGTAGGTGCTCATACCAGTAATCTCGTTCTCAGGGAGATTTACCTCTTTTCGTGACATAGGCAAAACACATTTTTGGGCCCCCCTTCCCTATTAATATAATAGGCCTAATATTACCACCCAAGCAAACAAAAATATTTCTTAATCAATGGAAACCGCGATACAGTGTGTTCTATCGCAATGAGCGCTTGCGTTCAGTCAATAAAAAACGATTGTAGTTCTTAATTTGTTTGAGAACTGAGAAAGACCATTCCATTAATAGGCACGGCGACGTGGCCAAATAATAACCAAATTCCCAAATTCCATTTTAGAGCTAATAACGGAGGTTTGAGCCATTGATATGCAGGCTAATGCAGTTATTAATGCAGTCTAATGCGGTTATTAGA